GGAGGAGGGGGAGGAGGAGGAGGAGGAGGAGGAGGAGGAGGAGAAGGAGGAGGAGGAGGAGGAGGGAAGGGGAGGGGGGAGGAGGAAGCGGAGGAGGAGGAAAGGGAGGAGGAGTGAACGCCCATGTCGGCGTCGATGAAAGCAAGCCCGCCCTCAGCCCCTCAACGCAATCTCAACAAACTGACCTTCATTTACATTCGCAGGATTTACTCGGGAACCCCCCGAATTAGCATACTGACGTGTACGGCATCCTAAAAACGTAAGTAAAACAAAAATACACGAAATTCACGCATGACACTGTCAAATTTCAAGTCCACCCGGGGGACTTCGAAACGAGAGGGTTGCAGCCCTCGGCATAACCTGGGTGGTGTCGGAGACCCCCCCTTGGGGTGTCGGAGACGGTGTCGGGGACCCCCCCCCGCAGGTGTCAGTGCGGCTGTCGGGGCCGCCCCCCGCGGGTGTCGGAGCGTGCGTCGCGTGCACCCCCCGCGGGTGTCGGAGGGCGTGTCGGGAGTACCCCCGCCCCCCCCCCGGCCCGATTTGTATGTCACCCCCCAAACCACGCTCAGCCATCCACCCAGCCTTGGAGGGCCCCTGGGCGCCGTTCAGAGCCGCCTTGGCGCATCATTGGCCCTCTTTGGGCGTTCTTGGGAGCTTCAGTGGCGCTCTTGGAACCATCTTGGACGGCGCCGATGTTTTATAATGAGTTTCGATGAGCCCCCCCCCCGCCCTCGGAAGCCCGGCACATCGCCTATTGGATTCATCCTGAGGCTTCGGAAGGCCATCGGAAGCGAAAAGGCGACAAAAACACAACACATTGATTTCCGTTACGTCTGGGATGGATGTTGGCCTCTTAGCGGCCTCCTGGGGAGGCTCCGTTGCCGCTTATGGGCTCTCTTGAGCCATCATGGCGGCCATCTTGGGCTCTCTGAGGCGCTCCTGGAGCCATCTTGGGCCATCGTGGACGCTCCAACCCCTCGCGACCCTCCCCGCCCAAGTCCAGGGGAGGGGGTAACTGGGAGAGGTAAATCACTCCCCGAAGGGGAAAAAGGGGAATGGAAGAGGAAGCGCTCTAGACCACCTACGCCTAGAGGGCCAGTGGGAGTACAAGTAACAAAATCTGAACGCTGTATCAGATCCAGGAAATAGGAAAACCTAGTCCTCAGCTGGCCCCGACTGGTCCGGCGCATCCATTATCCCGGATTATCCCCCTCATGTTGTTGCCACCCCGTCTTCCGGTGGGTGGACTAAAAGTGTGCACACGTGTCTCGCCAAGACCTTGAGTTATTAAAGCACGTCGGACCAACATGTGTACCCCTCTTCCCCTAAATTCGAAGTTGACCGGTTTAGGCGGTAGGCCAAAGGCCAGGGACAACATGTGGACTCTTCCAACTTTGGGTTTAGGGGGGAGGGGTGCGAAGCATGGGCATTTCGCAGTTGTGGTTGTTATCATGTGGGGTGTGGACACTTTTTGTCCTGGCACCGTCGTTTTGCTTCTCCCCCCTCCCGGCAGCGACGTGCTCCCTTCGCCCGCGGCCCGCGCGGCGAGCCGCCGGGTGGGAAGGTCCCCCGCTGTTTCTTCTCGGTGGGCTCGCCGCTGGGGATGTTCAGCTCCCGCGCTCTCTCGCGCTCTGTCTCTCTCTCTCTCTCTCTTTCCATGCGCGCGAGGGGGCGACCACGACGTGGACCGCTGCGACGAGTACGACGACGACGACGACGGAGACGACGACGAGCACGACGAGTACGACGAGGACGACGACGACGACGACGACGACGACGACGACGACGACGACGACGACGACGACGACGACGACGACGACGACGACGACGGCGGCGGCGGCGGCGACGGCGACGGCGACGGCGACGGCGACGGCGACGGCGACGGCGACGGCGACGGCGATGGTGACGACGAGGATGGCGACGGCGACGGTGGCGATGGCGACGAGGGGGAGGACCATGACGACCGCATAGCGTGAGGGCCGCTTGACCTACGGCAATGCGACAGGATAATGACAAGGCGGCTTGGACGATGGCGATGGCGACGGCCTTCAGCGTCGACTGCGGCAACGGCGGCGGCGGCGTCGACTACGGCGGAGTGTGGAGGAGGGAAACGAAGGACTGGAAGAATCAGGAGGACGAGGATGAATGCAATGGCGAGAGGTTCAGGAGAGGAGGGGCCGAAAGAGGGTAGGAGGAGTGCAATGAGGACGAGGAGTTTGGTTGGATCATGGAGTAACTATGGGGGTCCTGAGTGGTATGAGGCGCGAGACGGGATGTAGGATGAGCAAGGAGAGTAGTGGCTGGGACAAGATTGGACGGCGGTAGGAGGGATGATCATCGGGATTGTGTGGGATGTTGTGGATGACGTTGAAGACGAACGACCAGGAGGAGGGGGGGGATGCGGAGGATGTTCGGTGTTTTTGGTTGTGCTTGGCCCTTCGTGGCCTCCAGGTATCTCCGTAAGTCCTCTGAAGGGGTGTCACGCGAGAGCTCGGAGCCACGGGGAGCATGCGCCCACATGCTTGCGCGCCCGCGCGATCGAGGCGGCGGCGCGGGCTCCGTTCTCGATTCATCCTCGAGCCTCGGCCCACGACCGATCCTCGGTCGAGGCAGTTGGCGTGCGCGGGCTGTGGGCGCACCCCTCCTCGCCGGCGGCGGCTCGCCCGCGCCAGGTTCTTGAGCATCCGCCTGTCGCACCAGAGGCGGTCGCCAGCACGGCGCGACCCCGCCTCGGCCGCCTGCCTGGCAGAGTGTGAGGAGTGGACGGGGCGAGCTGGCCACGCGTGAGAGCGACCTTTCGCCGGAGTGACCTTTGTGGTGCGGGCCCCCCCAAGCAGTGGCCCGCACGCTGAGACTCGGCGCGCCAGCGGGCCTCCAAAGGCCGCGCACCGAAGGTCACTCTTGCTTGCGGTCACTCTTGCGCGTGCCTGGGCGAGGGGGAGGAAGGCACACGTACAAGGAGGATCGTGGCCACGTTGTCCTGGTCGTGGACAGCAGGTTCGCAGGCCAGATGGGCGGCCGCTACTCGCTGCCTCGCCTGTCCTGGTCTACAGCTGCTTCTCGTGGGCAGTCGCCTCGCTGACGCCCCGGGCGTGCGTGCCCACGTGGTTTGCCCATCAAGAGAGATGGGGGAGGGCAAGTCAAGGAATCTCGCGCCATATCCACCCTCTTATCCCTCCCGCCCATTCCTTCCCACAGTGTTGTTTTTTCTCACTATCCGCCGACGGGTGTTGTAGCGGACCTGGAATTCCCCATCGGGACCCCTTTGTGTCATGCGCAATTTGAGAGGAGGAGCTTTGCACATTGGAGTAGGAGGAGGAGGAGGAGGAGGAGGAGGAGGAGGAGGAGGAGGAGGAGGAGGAGGAGGAGGGGGAGGAGGAGGAGGAGGAGGGCGAGAGCAAACCTCGAACGCGTCAACCATGCAGCAATGCATGGGCCCTCTCTTGGGGCCGTCCTGGGGCCCTCTTAGGCCGTCGCGGGGGCTTCTTTGGCCGTCCCGGGGCCCTCTTGGGCCGTCATGGAGTTCTCTTGGGGCCCTTTTGGCGTCTCGGACGTTGGGAAAGGCCAAACAGGCGAATACAAATGCGCGTTTCCATACGGAAAACGGGCGATGTTTGCTTCTTGGGGCTCACTTGGGGGGCCTCTGGGAGGCCTCTTGGGGCGTCTTGGAGGCATCTGGTGCCGCCTGGATGCCGTCTTCGGCGTCTTGGAGCGATGCCTCTTGGGAGGCCTCGGGGGCCGTCTTGGAGCTCCGCGGGCCTCGGGAGATCTAGGCCCCCCCCTCTGAGTTCGGCCGGGGATCGGCGCGGACGGCGGGGATTAAAGTCATGGTTTGGGGTCCCGGGGGGGAAGGGGGAGGAAGACTCTCGCGCGCCTAGGGGCCCCACGGGGTCGGCGGATTTCATGAGAATCGGCAACGTTTTAACTGTCATTGGAAGACCCCCTTGCGAGACGCAGAGTGCTGCCATGCATCTTCCTGTTCGCTCTTTTCGTTCGCCTCTGTCTTTGTGCGGTACATTCTTCTTCATTTGCAAAGAAGCTAGGCAAGCGGAACTGAACTTGGCATTGACGTGCTCCGAACCATGATTCGATTCATGCGCCTTGCTTGGTCATTCCGCATCCCATGCATTTAGGGCCCTCCTGCGCCAAGACAGGATAAATCTGTCATCCCTTCCAGTTGGTACCTGGCTGGGTTGAGGAAACTTGCGAGGGCGCCAAGGGTTGATGCGGCCGATATCGACTATTGTCAGTTTGAGTCGTATGCGAGACAACCCACGAGGCCTCTTGACGTTCCTTGCCGTTCTCTGCGAGGTAATGTAGAGCGCCGACACGCAAGGGTAACTGCAGGGCAATCATGCGCACATGTCTTTGCAAGGGTTCAGCGCTGGATGGGGTTGGAACACCTTGGCTGCTAAAGCCGATCCTGGACCGATGTGTCGCTCCCTCGCTGCTGCCATCCTCGCTGACGTCCATCATACATTCCATGTTGCGCATGGTGAATAGGATGTGTGGTTTGCGCGTGATTGGGCCGCCCCCTCTCTGAGTCCCGCTCGGTCCTTTCAATCATGCAGTTCCACATGAGCAGCGCTTGCATAGTCTACAGGGCGAAAGAAAAGGACCTGGCTCTGCTCCCTGAACCCTTCATGTGGGATTGCAGGTCTCGCTCCCCTTCGCCCTCCTCGTGCGTCGTTTCGCGTTCTCCCTACTTTCGTGCGTTCGGCCGCCTCTCATCGATCTTTTCCACAGGCTGCGAACTGATTTACCTCGCTGTGGATTGCTTGAGTGTTTGAGTGGGGCCGGTGGGAGGCCGAGGCACGGCGGTGGGAGGCGGGGTTGGGAGAGGAGAGGGGGCACGGCCCACCCGTTCGTGCGGGCATCGCCCCCCGGCAGGTACTTCCAGGGCCTGGACGTGCGCTGGCCGGCTGGGATGGTGGGGCGCGGCTGGCGGTGCCGCCGCCGGGCGGGCGGACGCAGGAAGGGGAACACGTCGAGGAGGGCGGGGAGGAGGAGGAATTCGCAGCGGAGGAAAAAGAGGAGGAGTTCGAAGAGGAAGAGGGACAGGAGGAAGAGGAGGAGGAGGAGGTGGAGGAGCAGGTCGGGGAGGCATTTCAAGGCTTTCGAGGAGGTCGGGGAAGAGGATCGGATAGGATCGGCTGGCTGTCAACCGGAAGGATGAGGGGGAGGAGGAGGAGGAGGACGTTGGAGTAAACCTTTCCTCCAAGCTCCTTCTTCATAGGCCCCTACAACGGTTCATTTCCATTGAGGGAACTGCCTCGTTAGAAGACAACCGTTGGAAGACCCTGAAGCATGCTAACACATCGTTCTCGGGATTCCAACGCCACGGATCTACCTGACTCTTGCGTCTTGACGGTCCTGAATCGTGCCAGACAGCCACGCCTGCGACTTCAACACCGCGAACCAACGCAAATGTTGCACCCTCATAATCCTGAATCCTTCCAAAACGCAGTTTTCTGGTACGCGGAGCATGGGAATCCGTGAAACTCTTGCACATTAAGAAACGAATATGCGCGGCACAAAAACCAGTGCCATATATTATAGAGGAACCGCCTTCAATCCGTAAAATTCTTGCACATGTTTAAATCGAATGTGCGACCCGCCCTCCATTCGTGAAATTGTTGCCGGTGCTTAAGCTTCATGGTCGTAAATGGTGAGGACGTCCCAGGCGGGCCCTATAAACTGGCCTCGGGGTGCGACAGGGAGAAGTTGTTTAGAAGAAAAAATAATGGAGGAGGAGGGGGAAGAGGAACATGAGGAAGAGGAGGGTGCTGAGGGTGCTGGCACTGCGGGCGCAGCAGGGTGCTCTCGCTCATTTGGCGCAAAACTACAGCTCCGTCGCTGTCACCGAGCTCGGATACTTCCCCTTGAGTCGCCTGGCAGACTCTCACCTCTCGAGGTCATCAAGGTATGCAATACCATGCAACTTGGCCACAGCAGTGGCTTCCAACCCGAGGAGGCGCAGCAATCGGAAACCCACCTGCTGACCTCCCCTCCTTGCCGTGGGTGTTTCATTGGCCTCGGCCGAACTCTGATCCCTCACGTATCCATTGGTCGGGTCCAGAGCATCAGCCTCATCAGCCGGCCCCCAAACAGCATGCATGGCGAAGGACGGTCCGAAAACCATACCTACTTCAGCGTTGGCGTGCGTGTGCCCTGGAAACAAGCACCTGCGCAGCTTGGGGCGCTGGGTTTTGATCCCCTGGTGCTTCGCACATTTTGCACACTCCTTGGACACCCTCGCAGACGTATGCACCGAGACCCCGCAAGCTTTACAACACCGACATTCGGGGAGGTCCTGGCCATGGACCGACACAGCGGCTTGCACAGTGTGGTGCCCCCGAATTTCCCAGGGGACTCCCGTGACCGAGACAACGGGCTCATCGACGCCCCTAGACAGTTCGGGCTTGGAAGCAGGAGGAGCAGGGCTCGGAGCAGGAGGAACAGTCTCTCCCCTCTCGGCCCCCTTGGACGTCCAAAACAACCTTCCCCGTGCCAACAAGTTCACGGGAATCATTTTGCCACCTGACAGCATCAGTGGCGATACGTTCGCAGCCCGAAACAAAATCAAGGTGCTCCTGCGAACCATTCCAGAGGCTGGCTCCTGTTTTCGCCCGCTTGTCGGCCATCGCACTGCCTTCAATTTGTCATCCATCTTGGTCAAAGGTGGCGGGATGTAAATTCACGCGAGCATTGAACCAGTGTTCTTGCTTATGCCTTGCCACCACTCCTGCCACATGTGCCTCTCGGGCTGCAATTCCGAGGGCCACGCGGGAACCCCTGGCACAGCTGAGGGTGCCAGAGCAGTCCGCGCACAGAAAATAAAGGATGATCCCCCGACCATTCATTGACATAAGCAAGCATCTGAACGCCCAGTCCTCACCATCCCGAGCCGCCTGTCCTGACGCAGCACGAAGTGGCACTGCGCCGTACATGGCGCGGGTGAGCTGGCCAGCGCGGTCTATCTGAAACGCCGCTCACCCTGCGCGCTGGAACCCCAGGAAGTGCGAGTGGCAACCCGAACCGCTAACGAACGCGACCCGAGCACTTCCACGCAGGGAACGTATTCACGAAACGAAATTGATTGCCATCTGGGACCTCTGCGCAAGGAAAACAAACAGAAGGGGAGGGAACGAGACATATGGCCATCAATTCTCCAGCCCCCCGCCCTAACTGCCGGACATGTCTAGCCGCCGCAAGCGCGCGCTGGGGACATTCTTTTCTTGGTGAGTTGCACGCGCCTGGGGCAATCGTAAAACCTGTGCCAAGAGCGCGCCGCGTGTGGCGCAGCGCGCGCACTCGTTCGTGCGCGTTTTGGCATGTGCACGCGAACGGATCTGAAGCCAATGAGAGCCTCCCACCAAGGTCCTGACTGCCGAGGCCTGGTGCTGAGACCAACTGTCCGAGAATTCCTGCCCTAGTCACCGACTTGCTGGCGCGCTTGAGGGGCGACATCCAGGCCGCCTGGAGACGAGCGAAAGCATTAATGTCCGACGCCTGCGTGGCCATGTGCTTGACCAGATCAATAGAAATAATAGAGGGGGGTATCGCTGTTCCTGGCCAACGGCAAGACCACCGCTTGCGCGGGATCTACCACCTGCGCCCACTGTGTTTCCTTCTGCAAGAGGCCCCCTGCTTCCTGCAGGCAGGCCTGCGAGGGTCCAACGCCGGGAGTGACAGAATGTGCACCCAACGCCCAGTGCTTGATCACATCACACACACACACACAGTAACCACCCAGGGGTCTCTGGTGGCTCCTCCTTGGGGGGAACGAAGACGAAGGGCCACCGAGGTGCCTGCCCCCCCCCCCCCCCCCCCCTCTTCAAGATGGCATGCATAAGAGCAGCGAGCTTCGTGTCAGCAATGCCTGTGATCGCCAGCCCCCGCGCCGCCGTCGCCGTTGGAGATCCCCTCGCGCTAGTGCCGACGCTCGCAACTACTTGCCGCGCGGGGAAAGACACGACTTGAAACTCCTGCTGCGTTGCTCAAACGCTCGCCCTGCTCCAGAGTACTCTCATCGGACCCGCGTTTGGCGACTGTGCCAAGGCGGGTGCTGCTACTCAGCCTCTGATTTCTATTAAAGTCCCAGTGCTGGTTGAGATCGTTCTCTAAACCTGCCGACCTGGCCATGTAGCCTGTCTCATCCCAATTGATTGCCAGCTGCCGATGCTGCAAAGACGAAACTGGATCAGACATGGCCTGCTGCAGCTGCTCTAGCACGTGGTCTCCGCCCCCTATGGCCTGAAGGAGACAGTCATCTACTAGGTTCTGGATCATGACTGCCCCCGCGGCGACCGTGCCATTGGACCTCGCAGAATCGGAGATGGCCATTTCCACCTGGCCCTACGGGGCTATCTATACCAAGCGCAGAGGGACTTGAGGAGCTTGACAGGGAACCCAGTGACCAAGGCCTTCCGCCAGAGGTCATCGTGCGACACGTGTTCATGTTTTTTTTTTTTTCTCCATAAATCTAGTGATCGCAGCGAACACTCTCAGCGTGGCAGAAATCTGAATGATATTGTACACGCGCCCGCTTGATCGCAAGTGAAAAAAGCTCCTCCCCAGAAGGCGGCATTGTTGAGCGATGGCCCCCAATGACTAGCGCCTGGCAGCTGGCTGCCTCGGGCGCAACCAGGTGCTTCCCCAGATGAAGGCCACGGCGATCGGCCGAACTCCTGAGGCCGGGGCTGGCTTGCCCAAGAAGAACGCCCAACGCGTCCAGTGTTCGAGATCCTCGGGGCCTCGTTTCATGATGATGTCCAGGCACGCCTGCTCGTAGCTGTCGGGGGGCCGCAAAGCTCGGCGCGGACGCGAGTGGCCCCGCCCGGGCCCGCAGGGGCCAGGTGGGGCGAGAGGACCTCATGAGGCCGAGAGATGGTGACCATGGGAAGCTCGGCCCAAGGGCCCAGGCCTCCAGAAGCCAGCAACCCTCGGGGGCGGGGCAGAGGCCAGCGAGGGCGTCGCAGGGCCGACCCCAGGGCCCCAGTCCCTCGGATGAGCCTCGCCACCTCCTTTGGGCCCATTCCGAAGCGGCCCCCGTTGCTCCCGGAGCCTGCCGACAGCCTGCTGTCTTCCAGCAGGCAGGGACTGGCGATCGGCTGCGTTCTCCGCGCAAGCCTGGGTTCTGGGGGCGGCTCCTTCAGAAAAGCTCACGCCGGCCTTCTCCCGTGTCATTTGAACGCAGCCGTGGCCCAGGCCTGCCGGGCCCTGGCATTCGCAGCGCGTTCCCTGCCCTGGAGGGCGGGGAGGTAGCTCCAGAGTCTTCCCCCATCCCTGGGCTGCAAGCCGATAGAAATCTCTGGCGCGAGCCCCGCAACATAGAGCATGCAGCTTCATGCAAGCCGAACATTAAAAAGGGTCCACTTCTTGCCGTCCACAGAAGACAAGTGTCGCAGGTCTCTCCTCCAAGCCTGGCCTCCGTCTACACAGTGGACCCTTGGCCCGTCACCTCTCCCGGAGTGCGTTGCACTGCACCAGGCGTGGGTCCCGTGGAGCTCTAGCAGGTTTTCCTCGACGTTCTTAAACCATGATTGACAGGCCGTTTGTAGATCATCGGGCAGCCTTCACCAATCTTCCACGCCCAGTGCTGCTCACCGCGCTCCAGCGGGGCTGCTCGAACAGGCAGTGACTTCCCGATGTGGACATTCATGGTCAACGTCGCCTTGGGGACCTCAGCTTGCACCGGCAGCCCTTTGATCAAGAGTCCGGCTGGAGAGTTGGAGCGCGCTGGCGTTCCTGGCTCGACTAAAACAGCTGAGACGAAGGGCGTCAGAACCTTGCTGCAGATGAAGAATTTCAGCTCTCTGGCTCCGAACGTCACATCGCCCGAGTTCGCGATGTCAGATTTGACGTTCTGAGCCCACTGGCCATGCCATCAGGAACTTGATTCCCAATCAGCTCCAATAGTCCACGAGGTTGCTTCAGAGCACCGACAGATTGGAACAAGCTTGGCCAGCAAGTCCACTTTGGCCCCTGCCAGGCCCGCGCCGGCGTGTAAATATACATGCTGAGCACCGCGCATCTTGCACTCGACTCTGTGGGTCTTAAACCCGTGCTGTCCGCCAGCGGCATCGAGGCGCGGCGGATTCGCTGTGTGCTCCATGACCTGGCTCTATGCCTCCTGATCGCGTCCTTGATGTGGTGCTCCTGGATGCAGACATCGTCTGGGGCGCGCGAAACTGACTCAGCTACCAAAGAGTTGCGTGCTACACCTTCAAGATCACGATGGGCCCACTCCAAGAGAGTTTGCGCCGACATCTATGCGCTAGGGCTGACGGCCCACACCAGAAGTCAGATGCGGAAGCCGACGTGCTACCCCAGCTTTCGACGCTTTGCGTCCGTGGCGAGGTCGGCAAGGAACCGTTTGAGCTGTTCTGGATCAGCAGCAGAGATCCCTGCCTTCTTGAGCTTGTCCTTGAGCTCCTCATCATCGGGGCCAGTGTGGATGGCGTCTGTGGCGGGGGCGGCTGCAGCATCACCATGGGGGACAGCCGCAGCGCCGCGAGCACTGCCGTCGGCGCTAGCAGGGGACTGAGGCTCCTCCTCAGGCAGCCGCGCCTTGGGCTCCACCGTCTTGGCCTCCGCCGGCTTGCAGAAGCCTTGCCGCATCCAGCCCGCGACGCCTTGCGTACTTCCGAACGGCCTTGTCAAGAACGCCCAGCATCTGCAGCTCATGGATTGGGTCGGCTTCCCGTCCGACAGTGAGCGGCTCAGCGCCGAGGCAGGCTGAACCTCCTGGATGAAGTGCCCCATCTGGGCGAGGGTGTCTCGGTGGGCCTTCGCGCGCCCGACCTCTGCGTTGAAGACGCCCTGCGCCTCCTCGAGGGTCGCCTTCGCGTCTTTGACCCACTCCTCGGACTTCTCGATCTGCTTCCGCTCGTGAGTGCGCCGTTGGAGCAGATCCTGGAAACTCTTGCTGCTGAGATCCGCGGGGCCGGCCCATTCCGACCTTGTGAGAATGTCTTGCACAGCTGGGACTCAAGTTGGGGGCCTCCGTGGAGCCCCTTGTCCTTGGGCACCTTGACAAGGCCATTGTTTGACAAGGTCGCCGCCGCAGCTCCCTTGTCCTCTTTGTCTCATCCCCCTCCAGCTCTCCCATGACCTCTTTGCTGGTAGCGCGGGGGCCGGTTTAGCTGGCGGTTGATCTGCTGCTGTGGCGGGTCTTGCTGCAGGCGCCTGTTCCCGCATTCCCTGCAGCTGGTCCCGAAGAGGAAATGGGGAAACCCGCAACACGTCTTGGGCTGCGCTTGCCCTTGTTGCTGTCTTGGCTTCTCGTTGCCGCGATACATGTAGATGCTTCAGAACGAAGGAACGATGTCTCGTGCCAGCTGCGCCACTTCTCAGTTCGAAACATGGACATGGGTAGGAGGAGGAGGAGGAGGGGGAGGAGGAGGAACAGGAATTCTACCAGAAGGAGGAGGTAGTCCCCAGGCCCCTCACGGTATTGTATCACCAAACCACCCCAGCCCAACCCGACGGCACCGATACGCCCTCCGTTTCCAGTGGGGGGGGGTCTGGGAACATCCGGAAAACACATATGAAACCAGTACCCCACCCAACCCGAAATTCGGGTCTTCGGGTTGGGTTGCGGTGGTCTGCTGGGTAGTCACCATGGGTTCGATTTCAGCCAGTGGTGCATCTTTTGGGGCCGTTTTGGGGCCTCTTTTGGGTGTGTCGGGGGCCTCGTAGGGGCCTATTGGGCGCCCCTTGGGGCCTCCTGGAGACTTTTTCGGGCGGAATGCCGGGTTTTCGATGCGTGTTCCCTTTCTTTTTGGGCATGCTTGGGACGTAATGGGTGCCTCTTGGGCAGTTTTGGGGCGCTCTTAGGCCGTCTTGGGGCCTGTTGGGATGCTTATTGGGCCGTTTTGGGGTGGTCTTGGGGGCCTCTTGGGCCGTCTTCGTTCGTTGGAAAAACCAGAGGCGAGAATTCCAACATCTGTCAAACACCCAGAGACAAGTAATGCCTTGTGCCGCTTGGGCAGCCTCTTGGAGGCCTCTTGTGCCGTCTTGGAGGCCTCTTGGGCCACCTTGGGCTTCTTGGAGCGATCGTTCGGCGACTCGGGGCCCTCTTGAACTCATGGGAGGGTTCAGGAGCGCGTTGGGGAGAACTGCGTCCACAGGAGGCGCAGGAAACATTTCAGAACTCACGGAAGCCAGCCCAGGAAGAACCTTTAGGAAGGTCGGGGACACGATTGGTCCAGGCCCTTAGAGACTTACACGTCTCGCTGCAGGCATGTGTGTGTATAGTTCTCTCTCCCTCTCTCTCTCTCTGTCTGTCTGTCTCTCTCTCTCTCTCTCTCTCTCTCTCTCTCTCTCTCTCTCTCTCTCTTGCTATATATATATATATATATATGTTCGGGCTTCTGGGCGACCTGGTGATGCCATTGGTGGCTCTACCAGACCCCCGCCCTGCCTTCGCGTATGGTGGATCGACGGGGAGGACGTGCTTACACAGGCTAGGAGGAAATTTGAATGAACAATCAGGAGGGTGCCACCCGAAGGAGCTTTGGGTAGTAGATGGTGACGATGCGGAAAGTGACGATCTCTTTCGGGGTGCATCTCCCTCTCTTCTTCCCTTCGCGTTTCCTTATTCGTTTCCCTCCCATTGTTCCTCCCTTGCCTCCGTCTCCCCTTTCCCTTAACACCCAACACACTTGTTTTTCTCCCTCCCGCACACCTTTTCCCACCTTGCCCTTGCCTTCGCCCCCTCCGCCTTCGCCCTTTCCCCCTCGTCGTTTCCACACTCCCTCTCCTCCCCGTCCCCTTCCCCCCCTGTTCCACATCGTCCCCCTCTCACATGTTTTTCGTCATTGCTAGGTTCTTCAATGTCTTCCACCCGGACGATCCGATCGCCTATCGTGTGGAGCCGCTGCTCAACCCCCAGTACACCCCCATGCAGCCCAGGAGATCCAGCTTGTCCGTTTCTCTCGTGCAGATGTGTTGTTTGGAGATGCGTTGCAACAGGCAAGTTCTTGTGTCATGCGCACAAGAGGCAAAGTGTGCGCGTATGGTTGATGTTTTCAGTGGACTGCAATGCGTTCGCCGCATATGCATTGCTTCTGTTGAAGTCGTTGACGCCATCTTCGCGCCTCGTCTCCCTGCTGCTGCGCCTCTCCGCCTCCCACGGCTTCCCATCTCCCCCTTCAGCCTCTCCTGCTTCTGTGCTCCTCGTCCGTCTCCTGCTTTCTCCCCTTGCGTGTGTTGATGTTGCTCATCTGTCCTAATTCTTCTTCGCTCCCCCTCTCCTCGCCCAACCTTGGCCAGAGCTGGTGGTGTCGAGGGGTCACGCCGCATCGGCGATACGGCGCGACCTTGATCTGGATGTTCTCCGTCCCCACGTTGCCGATGCATCGTCGATGCATCGCCTTCGCGGTGCGATCCTCCGACCCCATCAGCTCCGGCCCAAACTGGGCGGCCCCCTCTGAAAGCATTCCCTTCTTCTTTTGTGACCAGCCTGGAGCAACACTTCTATCCCTATGATGGGCGTCGCCTCATACCGATGTTTCCCCAGGTTCGAGGGCGCATCCCTAAGATTATCATCGCCTTTTTGCTTGTCGATCCAGGGAGAAGGATACGTTCGAGGCTGGCTGTCTTGTCCGCCCCCCCCCCCGCCCGACGGCCAGGGTCGTGCCTCACCAGGGCGGCCTTCGTTGGCACCACCAGATCAACCAGTGGTTCCGTGGGAGAGCCGCCCCGCCCGGAAGCTACAGAAGCGGAGAAAGAAGAGGAATCTGATGATGAGTTGGGAGGATCGGGGATATTCATTTGATGAGGATGGTGTCTTTGTATACAGTGATTGGTCGACTGAGTTGCTCTTGCCGCTGGCATGGATGTGCCTCTCTCTTATCCGTCTCTGCGGCTGCCTGACATACGCGCCGAGGAGTTCCAAGACTTGGGTTGACGGGTCGAACAGCCAGGACGGATGGGGCCTCATGTTTCGCATGCTTCTTGCTGACGTACCGGATTGACCATCGGGGCGCACGGATGGGACAGGGTTGCGCCAGAGAAATTTCGATCGGAGGTTGCGCACGGGAGGAAGGGTGGGGTCAAGGTTGGCCTTGCCAGGGGAATTGTGTGGAGGGGGGATACGGGGAGACTGGGGGATGGGATCCTCTTGCTCTCAGTTTCCCCCCCCCCTCATTTTCTTCTCGGAGCCAGCGCCGCGTTCGGCTGACGCCACCATGAACATCCATCCGTGTTCAGGCCCAAATGTCTAGAATGATTTGTCTTATCTCGTCGACGGACCTTACATCCCGAACCAGTTTCTGACAGCCGTTGCACCCAACAGAACCCCAAACGGAAACGGACAATTGTCAAAACCCACCAGCAGTCGCGATTATTCCACGGCGCGAACGGGTGTTCGAGGGCCCAGGAAGTGTCCGGAGTTCCGGGTTCCAGTTTGGAGCCCCCTGGGGCCTTCTGGGCCTTGTATGGGGGTGCTCTGGAGGCCGCCGAGGCCTCTGTGGAAAAACTGGGGCCACCCTGGCCCAGTGCCACCTCTGGCAGCACCCGTGGTCTCGGCCATCTGGCGGCGGCGGTGGACGCCAGGAGAGCGACGGGAGGCCGCTGGAGGACGTGCTCCTGGTGCCGACCGCCGAGGAGGGCCGCGGGCCTGGCTCATCCTCCTCATCTCATCTGCTCTCATCCTCCTTCCTCCCTCCGTCCCTCCCTCCTCTTCCTCTTCCTCCTGCTGCTCCTCCCCCTTGGAGGAGGATGACGTCGAGCAGGAGGAACAGGGAGGGGAGGGAAGAAGGAGGGATGAGCAAGAAGGAGGGGGGCAATGATGATGATGATGATGATGAGGAGGAGGAGGATGAGGAGGAGGAGGAGGAGGAGGTGGAGTGACGAGGACGAGGGGGAGCAGCAGGATTAGCAGAAGAAGGAGGACGATGATGGAAGAGGGCAATCATTTGAGAGAGCTTGTCTTGAAAATTCACGTCATTCTGACCCCTGGCGCGCGAGTGAATGGGCCCGCCAACCGCCCCCCTGTTTCGTTTCAGGAAAATCACAGAAATCTAGGACATCCGGCGACGAATTCCAAACCGTCGCCCTCGCGTCGGACATCCTCAGAAAGCGAGCTCCTCGAACCCCCTTGTTCCGTTTCTGGGCAATCCAGGAAATCTGGCGACGAATTCCAAAATTGGGACCCCGATCTTCCCCAAGGAGGTCCTCAGACTAGCGCTGGGGCGCACTGGGCGTGTTCCAGTCTGGGGCTCATGCTCGAGACATCCTCCCAAAGTCGATCCCCGGCGCCCGAGAAAGTCAGGCCCTAACGCGCCCCCAGGGACTATCTCTGGGGATCTGCCAGCGCGCGCTGGGGCGCGGCGGGGCGCACCGGGCGTGTCCCAGTCCGGGGCGCTCGCCCGAGACATCTTGACATAATACTCGCAAAAGTCGACCCGGGCGTGTCCCAGTCTGGGGTCTTGGTCGAGACACCCTCGCAAAGTGGCCAAATCACCTCCCTAGGAGGCCCCCCGATGACGATGACGAGGATGAGCAACTCTAAAGCGAGCTGAGGGACATAAGGAGCAGAAGCGAGCGTGGGCCCGCGACCGCGTCGGCTCAAGTGGCCGGCCGCCCAGATATGATTTTGCCTCATTGTGAGGCATACGATTAGCCATCGAGACCAAGAGGACCTTCCTACTGCTTAAGATGGTACGCCCTCTACTACTGGGACTGTCGTTGCTATTGTACAACAGAGCTGGGGCTGGGCTTCGCCTAAGGCGAAGTTGCTGGTTGGGCCTCCCAGCTCCTCTTCAAACTTGGTAGCGGAGCTGGCCTATGGTGGTCAGCTCTAGCTCTACTCCTCACCATCCACGGCACTATCTGGTGGACTACAGACACGGTGGAACATCAGGGTGCAGTGGGTTTTCGCGGAGGAATGTATTTAACTACGCAGTAAAGCAAGGACACTTGCAGTGACACCTCTGCTTACGCGGAGGTCTCTTACTTTCGTCCTACATCCCTGCGCTACTACTCTCCTGAAGTCCACCCGCCTACTCAAATTGGGAGCATATTCGAAGATATAATGCATGGAAACATGCGATACGACGCGGTGCCGCCTCCCCCCCACGCAGACTTACGACCGCGCATCGGAAGCCCCAACCGACTACATCCGACTACGACCTGCGAGGTCATTGGATTGGTGTTGCTACCTTTGGGCTCACATGGGTCGCTATCGGGCGTGCGGTAGGACACATGCGCGGTGGAGACGACTCAAGAACGACCGGCCCTCATTGGGACCCACCCGGTCAGGTACCTTTCCGCGAATTCGTCCGCGAGGTGCATGCCTGGATCAACGTGACCACAGGCAACATGACGCCCTCCCAGCAAACTGCAGCCCTGCATCGAGGTTTGGGAGGTTTCGCACGGACCATAGCCATGAGAGCCCCCCAGCAGTTATCAATTTTGGCGTTGACATAGGTGGCCGCCACACCGACGGCGTCACCTACATTCTGTTCCTCTTAGGTACGAAGCCCGAGAATTTAGAAGAGGGGCGCCAACTCAACTCTGGTACAGCTCTCATTGGCTTCCGAGTCCATGCGGGGGAACGGATCGACCAGACGTTAGCGCGCTTCGAGATAGCCCGCTATGAAGCTGAATCGGCTGGCTTTGACATCCCCAACTTCCAAATCTTAGGAGTGGGGGCATCCCGTGCACGGCAACTCCCGCAGCCACTAAACCACCACATGCCGAGAGATCAGCAGCAATTTGACGCTCTACTAGAACGCGCGAGGTCAGATGCACGCATTGCTGAGAGAACCCCCGGCAATATTGATGGCATTTTCAGTTACTGACACCGAGCCGAGACCTTCCACGCTGAGGCAAACCCAGTGCAACCTGCTAACAACGTCTGGAATGACGATCCACAACCATTTGACACCACTACACTATTGGCTCAGATCGGTGGATCGGGCCCGGGGGTCGCAAGACTCCCGGGCCACTGGCCCGGGAGTCTTGCGACCAGCCCGGCCCCCGAAACCTGGCCCGGCCAGGTTTCGGGGGCCGCCCGGCGCGGTATCCCCTGCACGAGCCATGGCCCTAATGGGCTCAGCGTGGCAACCTGCCGAGTCCGATTTCGACTCCGGTACTGACGCCGATGCGTCTTCGGACGACGAGGCCGCAGCCTTTGACTTCTCCGATGTGCTTACATACCTCGCGGAAGAGCAACAGGCGCAATGGTTATTTCTAGGATGCCAAAAACATAAGCGCAGATGGAGGCGATTCATGACGAAGCCCGTCCGCCAAGCACGGCGTATCGGACGACGAGCACTCAAGGGAAAGGGCAAGGGTCGAGGTAAGGGTAAAGGTAGGCGTCGGCGATTACATGGCAGAGGCATGTTCGCATTCCGAGCACCCCTTACCGGACCACAGCATGAAGAGATATTTCTAGGCGCAGGCAGGAATCGCAGGCATGCGTCAGGAAAAGGCAAGGGGCGTCGGGGACACCCGATGGATTCCAATGGTAAGACTATGGGGTGCGACATATGTCACAGCACGCAGCACTTTCGCCGCGAATGCCCCCGCGGCGATGGGAGATGCAGGGGTCCGTCGATGCACCTGGCTCGAACCACTCTGACATGCAGTATTTTCACTGGGGGTCTCTTTTAGCTCGCCCTGCCGATACCTCAGCTGCAGTTGTTCACTTCATGGCTGCCAGATATCTGAGTGCCAGTATGTCCTTCGAGAATTACGCCGGCGAGCCGCTCCAGGAGGTATTCACTGGCCACAACGATATCGATCTGGCAGACTGGCTGGGCATGCCCATTGCGGGGCAACTTGCAGATGTTGAATTAGTCGAGAGCTTCCATGCGCCCGCCGAAGAAGATGCCGACATGGCAGGGGCGCCCGCGGACTCAGAAGCTCCTATTCCTGCCACGAGAGAGGAAACGCAGTTGATGTTTTATCTTCGGGTCATTGGAAATCCGACAAATATGGATTTGAGGGATGGTGACCCTTTGCGGGGAAACCCGCGAGACGTTAGTGATCTATCTTAGCGCGTTCGAAATGAGCTTGGCCATGCCGAAGGATCTCCATGCGCATTCGTCGCGTCTGACCGCTCTATGAGCCGCCAGGGGCGATCGGCAAGCCGCCAGGTCTGGAGGAAAAGGTATAGCGCCGATGATGATGACGAAGAATGGGAAGACGACGCTCGTCTGGCCCGCCGCGGTCGGTTTCCCAGTAGCTCACCCAATCGCGCGCGCGCGCTCCAGTGGCGCCCGCTCTAGCGGCCTTCAGCGCCCTCATCCTTCTGGCGCGGGCGCTCCAAAGGCCCCTCCATTGCGGGCCGATCGGCTTGGCGCCCCCCCGAGGAGGGGCCGTTCACGGGGGCGCCCACCTCGAGGAGATCAGTCGCAAGCAGAATATCCAGAGATCGGAATGCGGCGCCTGGTCGGCCACGCGGAAGCTGGATTGGCCCGCCAGCGCATGCCCGCACATGCGATGCGACATTGGCTGAACAAGGTTTGAGCTGAGCACCAGATCCGTCACTGGCAGTCTCGTCGCAATATAAACGAGGTGAGGACGGCAAGATCATTCGCTCAACAGGGACGAGAAAATGATGGCCAAGCGCGACTTCGAGAGAGTTATCATCGAGGAACGGAAGCTTTATAGAGGCGTTTGTTGCACGTGCCCCGAACATGCCGACCGCCGGCCTGGTCGCCCCGCGAGGCGCCCATCAAGGGGCCCGCGCTTGAACGGGACACCGCGGGCTTGGTCTCACGGTCGCGGTCGGGGTCACTGCGCCGATCCCAGTGCAACGCCATGCGAAGAACAGTTGACGGGAAACGACTACGAGCAAGCTGCAGTCATTGAAATATCCCAATATTCAGATATGGAAACACTTTTCACCCCTCATTATTTGATGCAGTTTATTCGCGATTGGCACGCGGGGAAACTTGCCTCACCAACATCAGGAGAATACGATCAACAAGAAGCTGACGCAGATGAGGTTGATGCGATGGCCGAAGAAATAGACACCGCGGGAGCAGCTCCTGCAGGGCACGCCGGATTATTCCGACGCGCGCCCCCTTCCCACGGACGTTTGTTTTTTTTTTTTTTTTTTTTTTTTTTTTATTTTAAAAAAAAAAAAAAAAAATATTGCGCGGACACCCCTATCGATCCTAGATGTGTCGCCACTGAAGAAATGGATCTTTCTCCAGGAAGAAAGGTCGCTCACCGTGCGGGAGCTGGGGGGTGGACAGAGGCCGCTGTCGACGGAAGGCTCAGCGCTGCCAAATCTATCTTGTCCAAGAGGGGTAATGCCACCATCGGGAATATGGCACTTAGACAGCTTGGCGGCATGGGCGGCGGGGATCCCGCGCGATATGGGCCATGGGCGCCTGCGGGGGCAACGGCTATGGCAGCTCCAAAGCCGAGGCCAGATCCGCCAATTAATGTTTCTGCATCCTCGGATTCGTCGAGCCCATCTAAGTCGCTTGGACCTGATCAGCCTAAACCACCGCCCAAGCAGTTGTTTGGTCTGCGGGTCGGGGGCGGGCCCCTTCCGGCCAAGAGCTAAACGGGGCGCGGGTCGCTTCATTTGGGGGGGCAGGGCGCGGGCGGGCGGGGTCTCAGGCAGCCGGGGGGCTCGCAAAACA